TCTTATTCACAAGGTCATGTTTTGATGAAAGCTGTAAATAACACATGTTCCAAAGTGTATTTATCAGGCACTCGTCTAATTGCTAGTGATTCTTTCTTTTCTTTTTTCGGTCATATGTTAGTGATTCTTTCTTTAAAACAGATTTCATAATATCCAGTAAAAAATGAAGCAATTCCAACTCCCAAATAACGCAGTATAAGACTACTTTTTATAAATAATTTTAAAAAATAAAAATAAATTCCTAGGCCAAATTGCATAGCCTTTATATGCACGGGGATGGTAGAATGAGTACTTTTAATGTGATTAAATTTGTCAGCTACATAACACCATGACCTTGTACTTCTCATCACTCGGCTACAAAAACATAATACCAAAAACCTACAATCTCTCTCATCCCACCTCAACTCTGTTGCGACCGGAGACTATTGCTTGGGTTGTCACAGCACCACTCAGCAGCATTGCGTTCTCAAATTAGCCCCTGTCGCTGCAGATCAGTATATGTCTTCTTATTGTAGATGTTACCCTCTCTGTCTTCATACTCTTCTTCAAGATCTGGGCGCCACTTATTCACACCTTGCCGTGCTTGTATCCTCTTCCACAGTTCTTTTGCTTCCTCAATTGATGTGATCTCATTGAAGTTCTTGGTGTTTGGTATGCCGAGGCAACGCATCCCATGTTGGTGTCGCCATTCCTTGAAATGTCTCTCAAAAGCTCTACGCCCCCAGTAACTGTAATTCCCACATATCTCACACTTGTATTCCTGACCAAGACCATGAAGCTTATACAGCCAGTATGGAATGGGTTTACCATCCCAACCCATCGGCAATTTGAGTGGATTGTAAATCTGCTGCTCATCGTCATCACTTTCAGTATCGGCCTGTGTCTCTTCCTGCTTGGAGTCAAACCCAATCAAGCATTTGTTAAAAACCACTACAAACTTGAAGACTTGTCAGATATTAGTACAGATTTCAGCATGTTTATTGAGGGCTCAATTTATTACCTCTTCACGTTCTGCTTCAATTTCTTCATATGTCAAAGCCTGTTTCTTCACAATGTTGTCTTTCGTTCGTTCAATAGCCTGCAAAATTCCGCAGATAATTTTTTTGTAAATGTTCACTGGTATTCAAACTTCAACAATTACAATGAAAAGCGGTAATTAAATACAGACAACAGACATAAACAACATAGGAGACTAGAAATTAGGCAGCATATGCCAACCTCATTCAGTAAATCGCATAGTTTTTTCACTTTGGCCTCCAATAAAGCAATTTCTTTTGAATTGTCAACTTCTTGTGAAGCTGCAGCAGCCCCATTCTGTACTGAACCTCGCGAACCCTTGGCAAAATGTTTCCTGTCCAACTTTTCCAGAGGTGTGTCCTGCGTAAATAAACTAAGAGATTAAGTAATATGTCGCATGTAAATTTTAATTTTTTTTAGTGTCCAACTTTTCCAGAGGTGTGTCCTGCGTAAATAAACTAAGAGATTAAGTAATATGTCGCATGTAAATTTTAATTTTTTTAATTTTAATTTTTTAAAGTGAAAAGGATATCCCATTATCAGACAGATTTCAATAAGGATTCAAATTTGTTAATAATACACATATACATAGGCTGCGATGCAATGATTTGAAATGGAAATCTAACACTTAAATACTGTAGAGTATTAAGAGTTTTCCAAGGCATCCTGATTTCTGGCCAATTTAGTAGTTTTATTTATGCCCATTAAAACAAAAAAGCAAGCAATTTTAGGACATTTCAAATAGTTCCAATTGCAAATACTGCCCAGAATACTGATTAAGAAACTAGAGCACAGAGAACCTACAAGTACATTTCAAATAGGCTACTTTTTTAAATAAATAAAAACAGAAGAAGTTGCAGAACAATCACCTTTGTAAGGAAAAGCCTCTCTGCGCGCTGCTGAACAGTGCCACCTGTCTTCAGTCCTAATGAAGCTAGTGCCTGGAGGGTAAATTAAAGAAATGAGCTAACAAAAATTTCCTTCTCATTTTACACGAGAGGGGGAAAGAGAGAGGGTGCGAACTTAAGATGTGTATAAAACTTAAGATTGAACTCGGCTTATACTGCTATACAAAGCAAACTCTTTATTTTTTGGGTGGCATTAAACTCTCTCAAATTCTTCAATTCCATATGCATCTAACAACATTAATTGATGACACAGATTTTCAATTCATTTTAGAAATACAGACAAAAGACTGCACAATAACTATTCAATTTTGAGATTTCTAAAACAAAAAAACAAGGCAACCCCCCATTCCCAAACAAGTTAACTTCCTCTCCACTTTTCGCATTCCCTTCTATTTCTATCCCCCACTCTAATACTAAACCACTTCCTATTCAATAACAAGTTAATTTTGGGCTTTGAACAATTATACAATATTTTTGAAAATAACTTTTTACCTCAAGTTGTGTGAACTTAAGGTCTAATTTTTGGCCAATAACTTTTCTCTTTAAGTTGTAAATATCAACCTTACCTCCTTTAGCTTTTCAGGACCCACTTCCATCAGTTCTTCCACCGTGGTATAAAAATCAAGATCGATCAAAGTAAGCTGATCTTCAAGATGCCCATTTTCTTGCTTCTCATTTTCCCATTCTTTTACCTTGCCATCTGCCCATTGCTCTTCAAATTCAGTTTCAACCTGCCAAAAAATCACCATACTTCAAAATTCCAAATCCAAGAATACTCAGGCTCATCCTGATAGAATCCAGATAATTTTAATGAATCATGCCTAAATGTATTTGCAATAGCCCGTTCTAGACAAAGAGCATGAAGTTCACAAATACAAACGTAACCATGAGAAATTGGTTCTCAAATTCTAATACTTCCTGAAATATATACGCATATACATTGTTAAAGCCCATACAAAGCATGACTTGCTACTATACCCAATTATGATTCAAGCCTTTCAATCATTAAAATGGTAGCAAAGAACATTCAATTGCACAACTTATAATTATCTCCTTCAAATTTAAGGTAAAGCACTAGTGAATTATAGCATTCTAACCCCAGAAAAGTCATAACCGGAAACTATAAAAAATACTTCAAATATATATTTCTGATTCACTTTGTATATGAAACAGGACTAAAAATAAAGCTCTTACATGCAAATAATCCAAGTAAAGAAGATAGGGTTGAAATGAACCTTTGAAAATATTCTATCAAGATCTTGCAAGGGCTCTGTCCGCTGGAAAAAATAAATCAGATAAGCAAGTAGATTTTCCATGTATTCGCTGTAGTGCCTGAAGAAACCAAAACAAACTCATTCCCAAATTCGTGTAATAAATTAAAGCAGCAGCAAAAGAAAATAACACAACACTTCACCTTGACAACTTCAGTTTGAGTTTGCGAGGAATCTTTTGTGGTTGTGAAAACACATCAAGGTAAGCAGAATATTCGATAGGTTCCCCAAATTTAGAATTGATATACCGGTTGTACAATTCATGCAAGTCGAGGTACCGTCCAAAAGCTTCCTACAAACAAAACAAAACAAAACAAAACAAAAAAAATTTAATCATAGGACAGGAAGAATGTATGTGACAAACTAAGTAGTGTTTACAAAGTGACAAATGCAATAACCTCAAAACATCAAGATGATACCCAGATATAACCATCTCTGAATTATTTGACTAACTATACATGCAATTAGTGTTAGAAAACAAAATAACAATGAAGTAGCATTTTACTGGTAATCAATATTGTCAAATCTTGCATGGAAGGGAAAATAATTGAAGCAATGTAAGTTTACTTGTCTGTGTAACCTCAAGCATTCTTTACACAAGCATGCATACAAACACAGAGAGAGAGAGAGAGAGAGAGAGAGAGAGACCTCTCCGCTGAACTCAATTTGAGGTTCCTCCTTAAGCAGTGCCTCTTCTTCCTCATTAGCATCAACAACACGTGCAGCTGGATGCTTTCGATGATACTCACGTATCTGCACATTGGGCAAACATTCCATCAAGAATCTTACAATACATGCAGTATCACCAACTAAATGATAAACTACATAATTTCTCAAATTTGTCGTTTTGGGTTTCTCAAACTATATTTTAGAATATCAGAAGTCGCACACTCAGACACAAAATACAGATATGACAAAAGCCTCTACCATGACGGAGCAACTACTAGGATTTGATGAATAAACTTTCAACATTTAAAAATCTCAAATTAGAAAACGCCATACTATAACTTCTTTGAATTTCAACTCTAAAAACAAAAACAAAAAACAGAAAGAAAGAAAGAAATACCTCTTTCAATCTATCATAAAATGCACTGAAAACGTTGATGCCAGTGGCAGTCTGGCCTCCAAGAGCGGCAATCTCATCCTTCCTCGCATTATCTTTATCTTCATAGATCTCAATCTGAAATTAAACACACAATAACAAACAATTCATACTCGAAAGCATAAGCATAAACCCTAGGGTTTCCACAAATACAAACAGACCTAGAATTCACATTCCTTGCATTCAAAGATAGAAGATTGCAGTAGCGGGAGTAAGAGAATAATACGTACGAGTCTTTCGGTGGTGGAGGAGATGGTATCGATCATGTGGCGGACACGGTGGCCCTGATACAAGCGGTCCTTGCTGGAAGGCGGCTCATTCTGGAAGTCCTTCACTATCAGCCGCTCGAGCCGCTCCACCTCCTCGTGACCGGCACGTGTCACCTCCAGTAGCGTCGACGACATCTCCGGCCAACTTCCACTTGGGAGGAGCTACGGCTTCTCTCTTTGCGCTCTTGCTCTGTCTTTGTATGGACGAAGCAAAAACCCCAAAATACCAATTTTTTTTCTTTCTGAAGTGAAAGACGCCGTCTAAAATAACGTGTTATGCGTTTTTATAGTGACGAAAAAAAAAAAGACGGTGAAGTTAAAAATACTAAGGCGACGTGTTTCTTTACTATTGGTTAAGTTTTTCCTGCCACCTGGTCATTCAAAAAAGATTTTCTTTTTAATAAAAATGCGATTTTTCTCATTTTCTGCTGTAGCCTGTAGGCCTGTAGGCTGTAAATTTCTCAAAGCCGATGAAACTTGAAGAGAGCGAGAGCAAGAGCAAGAGCAAGAGACAGAGATCGGTTAATTTGTCAAAAATGTGGGCAAAGCTCAACCAATCTATGCAAGAGGGTAATGAGGAGGGAGGAGAGGGCTTCTTGGATGAAGAATCTGACGGCTTTTGTGCTCTCTCTGCTACTCAGGTTCTATAGCAAAGAAAGTTTCAATTTTTAGTTGTGAAATATGTGTTTTTGCTATGTTCTCTTTGTTTTTAGCTTCACATAGTTCTTGGGCTTGTGGGTTTTTAATTTACCAGAGAATGTACGGGTTTGCAGCTTGTTTGTTGGCTGGTCTGGTTTGTATGTTCCTGGTATGAGAATTCTTACCCCTCTAGATAACTTTAATTCGAATGCTTTTCTAACGGATTACTGAGTTATGATTTCAATTTGCATTATTCTGTTTACAGGTATCTTTCTTTACATAAACGCATGATTTTCCGTGAAATTGATTCAGTTTGAGAGTGGTGGACGCAATGTGTAGTTGTATATGTGTCCATTCACCACTTTTGCTGATGGAAAGTATTTAGCTTCCTTTAACATGCAAACCAAGAAAAAAAGGAAAGATAAAAGGAATATTTGCACTGTTGCACATTCGTGTATTGTATCTTCATCTTTTACATGAATGTTCCTGACAAGGAAAGAGGGGTGTGTTAATGGCGAAGGAATTATGTGATTTTAAACTTTGAGGTATTGGAGAGATTACCTTTTCAAACTCTTTTCTGCTTCCCCTCATCAGCTAAGCTAATTTCAACTTTATGTATTATGCCTAAGGAAACTTTCTGTTTGCATTTCATAACTGGATAAATGAATTCAGTCTAGAACAGAGAACAGCAACATAATTATGAGAAAAGTAAAGTTCTTCTGGTCAAGATAATTTGTACGGATAATCTTTTGATATTTCGTTGCAGCATTTTCTTATAACTGTTGCTTCTTTGGCAGTCATTGATTGTCTTTGCCAAACCCATCAAATTTGCCGTTTTGTTCACCTTTGGCAATTTGTTGGCAGTTGGAAGGTAGGTCCAAAATGAGTTCTCAACATCATATACTTGAGCCACATAAATTGGTGTGTGATGGCATTATATCTACTGAAATTCCTCAAACTTGTTGAATATACCTCTTTTTTTCTCATGCAAGTTTCTCTGATTGAGTTTAACTAAAATTCATCAAGGTCATTCAGATGCTAACCTGTATTCCTGTTTGGCAGCACAGCCTTCCTCTTTGGCCCTGCACAACAAATGAGAATGATGTTTGATTCTGTCCGAGTGTATGCAACAGCTATTTACCTTGGATGTGTTGTTATAGCACTCATCTGTGCTCTCTGGGTTAGTATGAAATCCTTATCCTATGATATTACGAAGAAAGTTTGATCATATAGCTGCAACTTTGGAAAGTTCTTGGGGTCTGATTCTCAGTAATCTGTGAGCCCAAACGTGTCCTGATTAGACACTTTGTATGTATAAAATATCAGCATGTGTTTCTGTATGATCATAATGATACTGTCAAGGTTAAAAACTTTAAATACCTGAGAATTGGAACAAGGTGATTATGTCGATAACTTTTCCTTGCTTTCAACTTCTTGTCTTCACAGCCTCCACTTTCTGGCTCGTGTCAGTTTACATGTCAATGTATCAGTGTACATGATTATTGATTCCTTCCAAATATATTGATCTATTATATTGAATTGAAACCTTGACATTTCCCTTTTCATCGTGCAGATCCATAGCAAGATTTTAACAATAATTGCAATCATATGTGAGGTCTGCGCCCTTATTTGGTAAGTTTCCCTTTCATGTTCGCCTATCTCACTAAATTTGCCACTTCAGAGAAAATGCAGAAGGGCATGCACCCTTGTGCCCCATCCGAGTCAAGTGTCAAACTATTCTAAGAAAAAATATTATTTGTACTTCATGGTATGGAAGCTAAACATGATATGGAAGCTAATAGTTCATCTGAGCTACATTCCTTTTTGCTCGAACTGTTTCATGGTAAGGAAGCTAGACATTATATGGACAACTTATATGATCTGAACTGTTTCAGGTACAGTTTGAGTTACATTCCTTTTGCTCGAAGAATTGTTTCGGATTTGATGATTCGTTTATTCGACACTGAGCTTTAGATGATGCAATTATAAACAGTTCAGGGTTAAGAGTCTTGAAATTTTATGATCCGGGTTCGATCTCTTTTCCATAATTGGTTCAGTTTTCTGTTGGCATAACAGTTACGGGAGTTGGGTTTATTGGGCTTGTGATTGTTTTAAACCTTATGAGAACAAGTAATTGTATATTCCTTGGTTTCATATTCCAATTTCAACTTCTTTTCTCGTTGATTTTGCTTGCCTCTTTTGTTGTACAAAAATTTTAAATTTATAGAACAAAGGGCCTCATAGAGACCGACCCAAATATAAGTCCCATCGCAGACAACAGAAATAAAGTGGACAATCTAGTGAAGCCCAATTAATTGTTAGATCGTACAAAAGAATATCTCACTTCACTCTCTTTCTTGCCAATGCCAAGCCATAGCATTCTGAAAAAATGTACAAAGTTGGTATGCGCCGTCTCTCCCAGAACCAAAGAATTTAAGGCTTGAATTGTATAAATGGCAGATGTGAGCTGAACACCATGTGAAATACATACCCAACGACTTTAAGAATAGCTACCTACCACATAAAAGAATGTGTTTTAACTACCAAACTGATATATTTCCCCTGTCGATGGAGCCTTCTTGAATTGAATCACCATCATCTACCAAACTGTATTAATATGATTTTCTTTTTCTCGGTGTCTTGGAATGTGCAACAAAAAGAGAAATAAAAACAGCTCCATCTTGGCATCAGATGTGGACCAGGGGATGGCTAAGCTTTACTTGCAACCTTAGCTCAATGAAGACTTTGAACTTTTACCTAGTTTCTGATGAGCAACAAATTCTTCATTATGCATGATTTGGGGGACTATCAGAAACTTTAAAGTGAGCCTAGAAGAAGCCTTGTGCAATAATGGTTTTCTGTTGGTCCAAAGTTACCCTACTTTACCAACCACCAAAGCAGCCAGCCTCCTTTTAATTCCAGCCCCAGAAGAAAACAGGAGAATCTGAACTGGTCAGGATGGTTGGTGCATGTTTAATGGTATATGACAATGTGAAGAACAAGTATCTGATTTCCCAAAACTCCAAATAACCTCCTTTTGCAGACTTCCTTCTTCTGCTGATTAAAGGGGGGATTAATTTCACTTATTTTAAAGAAAAAAGTTGCTTTTGACCCATCAAAAGCTAAAAGCAAGAGGGAAACTTCAAGTTAAATAAGCTAAATGGGAATTCCCGTAAATTATTATGGGTAATTGGGTTGGTGGGAATAGTTAGTCACCTCCTCATGATTCACGATGGTGACCTTATTATACTTTTATATATTAATTATGATTAGGAGGAAGTAAGCATTAGATTAGCTTCACATTAATCCATCAGATCCTCCTAATTAAATAGTTTTCAGCAACCTACCCACTCATAATGCATGGTCCATCAACGAGCATAGTACCCAAACCTACCACCATCTAGTATCTACCCATTGGAGAGAGAGCCATGAGATGAGCCGCCACCACCATCAAAGCTCCCAACCAAGGTGCATTTTTGCTCACCACTTTAATCATAGGTGTACTCTCACCACCATTATCAATGCTTGACACGTGTCTATAGACATAACCATAGTTAACTTTTGCTTTGTATTTATGGAATTATGATTATATCTATGGACACGTGTCAAGCATTGAGGATGGTGGTGAGGGTACACCTATGATTAAAGTGGTGAGAAATGGGAATTCCCGTAAATTATTATGGGTAATTGGGTTGGTGGGAATAGTTAGTCACCTCCTCATGATTCACGATGGTGACCTTATTATACTTTTATATATTAATTATGATTAGGAGGAAGTAAGCATTAGATTAGCTTCACATTAATCCATCAGATCCTCCTAATTAAATAGTTTTCAGCAACCTACCCACTCATAATGCATGGTCCATCAACGAGCATAGTACCCAAACCTACCACCATCTAGTATCTACCCATTGGAGAGAGAGTCATGAGATGAGCCGCCACCACCATCAAAAACCAAGGTGCATTTTTGCTCACCACTTTAACAATAGGTGTACCCTCATCACCATTATTAATGCTTGACACGTGTCCATAGACATAACCATAGTTAACTTTTGCTTTGTATTTATGGAATCATGATTATATCTATGGACACGTGTCAAGCATTGAGGATGGTGGTGAGAGTACACCTATGGTTAAAGTGGTGAACAAAAATGCTCCCTCAAAACCACCCTATCTAGCATCTAGTTGGATTCATTTATTGCTGCTGTCACAAATTATTTATGCGTTAATTGGCTTAGTCTCAATCAAGAATTCACAACTTTTTTCGGTGGACGAGTTGATCTTGACTGAAGCTAGTTTTTTTTCCCTCTCTTTCTTATAGGGACTGAAGCAAGTTTAAAGTACACAGATTAATTATACATCAAGCATGTTAATCATTAATTAAAGAAGCTTCTTTTGAAACTTGCTTGCACCCAAAGCTATTATAATCTGAGGTTGCAAGTGTGGTTGTCTCGGATTCGGTATCACAGAGAGAGAGAGAGAGAGAGAGTACATTTTCATTTCTTAATGGACAATCTTCACTTTCGACTGTGCAAATCTCGAAAAAGCATTTAATTAGAATGCAAATTACAATTATATATACAACCAACTATTTGACCATGATTAAAACGCAGGCCATGACAACAGAATTAATACTGGGCCCTGCAGGCACCAAGTAAATGGTCCTTTTCCCATTGAAGTTTCATTTCAGCTATTGGATGCTATCTGACCAACAACCAAAAATTAAAAATAAAAATAAAAATAAAGCTATTGGATGTTCATGTACCAATGACAATTTGTTAAGTTATACCACTCCCATACACCTTCTCAAGTTGAACAATGACCGGTGGCAGAGCCAGAATTTCACATTAGAGGGGGGCTTTTATAAAACTTGTATTCTCTTCATAATTATCATGAATTTCATATTTTAAATTAGTTAAATACTAATTTCATCATTTGCAATATTAAAGACTTAAAAATTAATAATTTATATTCCAACAAAGAAAAAATATAGAAAAATAAAGAGTTCATAAAGCGCAATATTAAAGTACCCAACTTATACATAAAAAAATACGAGGTAAATAAAAAATTCACAAAGCTTAAACAAAAGAGGAAGAGGAAGAGGAAGAGAAAGAAAGGTTAAAACTTTAGGAGTTTTTAATGCAAGTTTCATAAACTAACCTAGAAGATTTAAGTGAGATGAGTAGAAGAAATATCAAGAAATTTGATGGTTAATTTGTAGACGAAAAGAATCTAATATATTATTTTATTTTAAGGGTAAATATCTTAAAACTAACCTAATATACCGTAATATTATATATTATATACAAATAAAAGAGATAAAAATGGAGTGGGGGCTTGGGATCACACTGGTTCCATTCTGGCTTTGCTCCTACCAATGACCACCACCACCTTAATTGTCTCCGCATTTTTTCCTTCTTCCAATTTGGGTTTATTTTCTTGTTTATGCCCAGTATTTTCTTTTTGGTTAAATAATTCAAGCCACTAGGCAAAATATTTATTGGGGTAAGCATTATATTATGGCCGAAAATAATAAAATTAGTGTCGAAAAACGTTATTAGACGGACTCTAATTTGAATTATGATATTAATAAATATAAGGCATGTTTTCCGAACATTGAACAAAATTACGTGTTTAAGTTTTTCTTGTTTTTGTTGAAGTAGGTATTTAATATGAGAAGATTAAAAAGTTCACTCAACCACAGGCTCGACGCCACATTGATAGCTCCATGAGCAAGAAGTTGCAATTTTTCTCTCAAATGTTGGATTCATCAAAAGTTAGCATTGACTCTTGGAATCTATGAAGGAGTAATGAGCATGAGGAAAAGACTCCTCAACTACTCAAACGGCCACTTACCCCGAAACAATAACAAAAACAAAAAAAAACCACTCAAACGGCCAAATCTTATTATTTTTCTAAATTTTGACAAAATTAATGCATATTTTAAAACACGTCTCAAGACTTTCTTTTTAAAAAAAAATTATTAACCCTCTAAAATAAACGGCCACTTACCCCGAAACAATAACAAAAACAAAAAAAACCCACTCAAACGGCCAAATCTTATTATTTTTCTAAATTTTGACCAAATTAATGCATATTTTAAAACACGTCTCAAGACTTTCTTTTTAAAAAAAAATTATTAATCCTCTAAAATAGTTGTCTAATACTTTTATTTAGTGCTTCATAGCTTAGCGGTAAGAGTAGTCTCATGTTCCCTTCCAAACTTTGACCAAAAAAACACGCTTGTATTTGATTGTTTTCTTACAGTGTCAATAACAGATTCTGATTATAATGAACAAATCATAGGAGGCTAACATGGTTTATTTGTAATTAACTTTGTAATAAAGCGAAGCAAGACCATAGGATCTGGTTTCATTATATCAACTACGTACTGGATGTATGACGCAGCGCATGGGATCTTAACCTCCAAAGTCCAAACCCCAGCCAGACAGACACAGAGACTGCATATGCAAACTAATTCTGATGTCTGCAACTATGGATTTCATGTAAAATACAAAACCAACGCCAACTGCTACGAGAAGCCGCATCTCTAATATTCAATTACGCATTATAACCAATTAAAAAGTCTCCAAATCAAACAAGCAACTCTCTAAAGTCTAAAGTCAAAGTGTCTGAATTCATGAACATGCCAAGTTGCCAACGGAGCCCTCATTAGCTTCGTATGAGCGTCATCACCAAATGAACTTTTTTTTTTATTTTTTTTTTATGGAGTTGGCATCAACTTCTTCTTCTTCTCTTTTTCAGAGAAATGCATGCACATGTGTAAGTTTCAGCTTTTGTTCCCTATAGGCTATAGCCTTCGATGGATGGACATGGACCCAAATATTTGCCTCAACAACAACACTTCACCAAAAATTTTGTAAAATCCATGGGACCTCCAATAATGCAGGTTTCCTTATGGGACCCATGAAATTATTAGACACACATACATACTCTTCATTAACAACCACCTTCTTCTTCTTCTTAATCATCAATAAGTCAAAACCAAAGTTTACTTATCATCACTCAATTGCAAACAAAAAAAAAGTTGTCTCAATCAGCAATGTTTTCTTTTTTCTCCCAATTGCCTCTCTTTTCCAATATTAGGTATATGAACAAGTAGCTTTCTATCTCCTTGAGGCCACATGTAAAGACATTGATATCCATTTTAAACAAGTCCAGTT